TCTAAACAATCCACCTTATTGACTTCTCGACCAATATTTTGTTCCAACTCGAGCACTGCCAATTTGTCTCTCAATGCTTTCAAGGCTGCTTCTTCTTTCGTCTTGTCCTTGAATTCTTTATTGAAAGCCATTAATTTGGTTTTGAAGGCCTGAATATCAGCCATTTGCCTTGGTTGCTTACAACTCATTTAAAACTCCTTAATTACTCTTTTGCCAATTACTGGCTCTTCTAAGGCCACTATATTTAGCCTCATCTGACTGAACGTTTCAGTGAGTGCATCCACCGAAAATGGCTCTTCACTCTGCGCGACAATTTGAGTTTCTTCTTCATCTTGGACTACTCTGACAGGTCCATAATTTCCTTCGTACATTAACCTTTCTACTGAGTTTACTTCTGCGACAAAAGTTCTATGATCGGCCTGCACCACTTCTGCTTCGCCTTTGTCATTCCAAAAAACCAGGAATTGATGGAGCGATGAGGGTATGCAGCGACTTTCGTGTATCCAATCCCTTCATAATAACACATTGTAACTAGTAGGACCTTCTATTACAAAGAAGACTGTGGTCCTAGTAGTTATCCCTATAGTTATGTCCAATGGCATAAACCCTTTAGCTGAAGTTGCTTCTCCATTGAAACTCGTAAGGACGACTTCTGTTGGGATCATATCATTTTCTGTCTTTGCAAATTTTCTCATCATCCTAGATGGAATGGTGTTTATAGCTGCTCCATTATCGACAAACACTTTTGTCACAGCTATGCCGTTAACTAGAGTTTTAACGTACAATGGTCTCAAGTATTTAGTTAACTTCATGGCTGGTCGCTTAAAAATAACCTTTTCGGCAGCATTTATTTCCACTTCCTGCTTGTCCTCTGTCGAGTTATCCTTTTGTGATAAGTCAACGTGCAGCATGTCGCACTGAGCTTCTTTTTCCTGAATTTCATTTTTACTATTTTCTAATACTTCTTCTTCAGTTACCTAACTTGTAGGAAGAGGCATTATTTTTGGAGGTGATCTATACTTTTCAGAGCGAGAAACTCTCTTTTTCCTTTTGGGCGTCCCGTACAGCACGTAATAATCGAAAGAACGCCCAGACGGTTTCCCCAACAAGTCTACTTCACGAACCCCCTCTCGATATAGTTGCTTCAACAAAGTATTGTACGATACTCCTCTTTTTCTTCTTTCTGCTTCCAAATCAATTTCCTCTTCGATATCCGTCATACCATCATCTCCTTCATCATCGTAGGCCCCTCTAGAAGTTTGGCCTTCTTCATATTCCAGCACGCATGCTTCTTCTTCGTTATCCTCCCTCTCTTCTTCTTCTTTCTCTTTATTCTTGAATTCATTGGCTAGCAAATAGTTATTAGCCATGACAGGAGGTAACGTACCGAACTGAATAGTAAAGGACTGATCTGGATCTTCTCCATCTCTTCTATCTCGCTCAAACTTCGACCTCCCAGAAGAAATCTCTAGCAATTCTTTCATCGATTCACCTATACCAGTCTCTTCGCTATCTTTGAGAATATTTTGATTGGCCACCTCAATAGCTTAGCCGCCTTAGGACGTGGCACTCCCTATTGTTGCCTCATCATTCGTCCATAGTTCCGTTGAAAATGTAGGGCGATGGTGATGCTGCCATATCCCTGGTTTCTCTGTATTCCCACTCACTTCTCTTTTACATCTTGTACACAGGATGTCTTCATCCTCTTTGGGCTCCTTCCCTTTGATACGTTCAAAGACACTGGGATGTGGTCCAGGGTCTTCTTCTCCATCATCTATAACCAACTTGAATTTTGACAACTTGTTTTTGAAACCAGTCGTCATCGTGTTCACCCCAAGTGGCTGTGGAAAAGGATTTTCATCCACTGCCATCTTCTTCTTATCTTCGAACGTAATTCTTCCTGATTCAATGGCATCCTGTAACACATGGCCAAAAACCAAACAGTTATTAGTCAAATGTGACCATACATTATGCCACTTACAATATTTTTTACCCTTAACTTGTTCAGGGCTTGGCAGTTTATGTTTATCGCTCAGTTTTATTTGTTTATCCTTATATAATTTATCAAATATAAAGTCAGCTTTGGTTACATCAAATGAGAACGTTCTAGCCTTTTTGTTTTCATCTTTTATAGGCTCATCTTTACCCGACGGTCTCGACTTAGCCATTATAGGACAAGTATACGTGTCTCCTTTGATTAATTCGGCCAAACACATTTCGGTTTGATCGTAATACTCGTCATTAATGGCATGAACATCAAAATTCGGGTCTCTATAATAAGTCCCCTTGCTAGAATTTTTCATTTGCTCTTCCTCTCTTATTAATCGTTCATACCTAATCACGTTCGCGCTCAATTGAAAAAGATCAGAAAATTCCTTGTTTTGGAACTTCTTTTTCAAATCAAAGCTTAGATAATCTTGAACGATTTTGACAAACTCCTTCTCGGGTAAAGGTACAAAACATTTACTTCTTGCTGTCTTAAACCTTTGAAGGAAACCTTCTGCCCATTTGTTTGGCATTTGAAGTAGATTCGCCAAATCGGCCAAAGTAACTTCGGATTCAGTCTTATAAAACTGAGCGTGGAACAATTGCTCCAATTGTTGCCATGTCTGAACAGAGTTCGTTGGCAAATTGATGAACCAGGAGAAAGCTACTCCTGTTAATGAACTAGGGACAACCTCATTTTATGGTAATCAGTTACGTCACCACTTTGCAGCGTGAATCGCCCTACGTGTTCTAGAGTAGACACCTCTCCTAAATCGGTAAATAGTGAGAATTTTGGCACTTTATACTCTCTAGGCCATGGATATGCTTAGTATACCCAATCAGGATATGACTTTGTATAAGTTGGCCTAACGAAAGGGCGTACCCCAAAAGTCATATGATCCTGTACTATTTCCATAATTTGATTCCTCAACATGACGTTGGGGTCATATGGAATTCCTACAGGTTGGTTGACCGGTTGATTTGTTTGGGGCTTGATATTTGGTCCTTGGTTGGCAACAAAGTTGTCATGATTTGGGTCATTTGTTACCATTAGTCTGAATATTTATTCCATCATTAACACATGGGGCATTCTGTCCATTATTTAGGACATTGTCTCTTACGTTTAGGTTACCTCCCAAGTTAGATGTGTTATTGCCACTATTCTGATTTGGCATTACACCATCCTTTGGTTTGAAGTAGAGGGACCAAAAGGTGGTTCTACCCCTTGATTTGGACTTAGAACTGAGAAATTATGTCCCACAATTGTCCTAGTTTGAAAATGATTTGCAAGAGGCACAGCTGGCTGACAAATTTGGCCTACCAACTTATTCATTATTTTGTTCAAAGTATTCAGTTGTTTGGCCATGTTGTCATAATGTACATTCTCATTTTGGGTAAATCTTTCCATATTATGAATACTTTGTAGATTTACCTGTTCAACGACATCCTGTGTGAGCTCTCCAAATAATGCACGCATGGTTTGAGGGCTCAACTCTGTCAGTGGTTCGTAACGACTGTGACTGTTCCGACTCTGTCCATCTGTTCGTGGAGAGCTATGCTGCTCCTCATATCGCTCAATCACAGATTGGACTCCTCCCACTTGCTTCCTTATCAGATTTTTGAGGCATATTGTTTCACCTTTTGTATCTTCAATACCAAGCACCAATGTCCTACTGGGCATGTCAAATTGTTTCGCGTGGGTAGTCGTTAACAATTAAAAAGAAAATCAGACGATTGTGTAAGGAACAAACCTCTTGAGACAAAGTCCCAAAAATGGGTGTTTTATTGGCAATGACTTTACAATTGGAACTAAACAGAATGCCTCCAATGGGCGCAAGCACACGAATACTGAAAAGAAATATTTTTAAGTCTAAACTAAGAAATTGAAATTACATATTCTCTATTTGAGAGCGTTTGATTCCAGCCCTTTGCTCTATATCTTCTCTTCCTTTTATATTCCCTTGATGATTTCTTCGTGATCAATCGCTTAGAAACTACTTGATTGCTTTATAACTACCCACTTTTTTTATGGTGGCTAACTTGTTGTAGAACTGTCGTCTCTAACTATTGCCACTACTCTTTGTCGTTCAACCGTCTTCAACTGAACTCCTTGAATCGTGGAACGTGATAAGGTTACTCGATAACTGCTTCAATAACTGCACTTCTGGATAACCATAACATCTTATATTTGCTAAAATCCCGGGCGATTCAAAGGTTTGGGTGATAACAGGGTCATAGCCCTGGACGACTGTAAGGCACTTCATTCGCTCAGATCTTGGGCGTCTTGCAAGTTTGGGTGATGATGTTATTGTGTTCGTGGGCTTCCACTACATTCATTAATAACCTTATCTGGGCCTTTATCCTGAATTGCCCAGTTGGACTTCATTTTTTGGGCTATTTGATTTGAGGATTCCTCAATTGAGCTTCATTTCCTAGGCTATTCGATTTGGACTGCACTTTTAGTGTGTCAACAGTTACGCTCAATATAAAGTTGAATGGTCAACCGTGAATTTAACCCCTTTTGGAGAGATGGTAACAGGTCCAAAATTGTACTTTCCCAATTTACCCTTCAAATAAATTGATTTTATTCCCGGAACGGGAGGGTTATTTTCGAAAATTGGTTTTAAAAAATGGGATGTCTTGGATCTATCGTGTTTTAACCTTCAGTAAGGTATAAAATGTCTCACAAATGTTCTGTGTACTTTGTAATTTTTCAATATTTACTTTACTGTTGAGGCATGATCGAGCTTGAGATTTTAATGAGATTCAAATGGATGCTAAGTTCCTATTTATCCATCTAGTCGAAATTACATAGCAATCTGAGGATGAGCGCACACAGAAACATTGCACAACAAGAGTCCAATACAGAGTGGGAAACACAATTCACGAATGCCTAAAAACGTGCGAAACCAAAGTTACCAAACCAAGCCATCGATTTTCCATAGGCCATGCGCTTTTTATTCACTACTAAATGAAAATTTAATAATATAATAATTAAAAACAAGAACCAATGTAAACCAATGGCGCCCACGCTTTTCCTCAGAAACTTCTGCTTAAACATTACTTCCTGTCGAACCCTCTCCATTCTGTTTAAAATAATAATGGGTTTTCAATTGTATTCGAGATTCAAAGAACATGGTAAGATCTACGGTAAAGCACAGCTTCACAAAATCAACAGTCGTTTTAGCGCTTGTATTTCTTCTTGCGGTCGCTCTCACGGTGGATTTTTTATGGGCGTCTATGTCGTCTACTTCTTCAATCGCGTCCTCCTGGACTAGTCGGAAGGATCGCATTGTTGTTATACCAAACGCCGGCAATCATACTGAAAACAAAAAGGTTGGCCCCTTCTTAAATGTTTATTATAGTGTGTGGGGTTTCCACAATGTAGATTTTTACCTTTTTTGCGGACATTAGCATTTTTTTTTTCAAATTGAAGAATATTGATAGTGATTTATTCAATAATGTAAATCCAGTATGTAGAAAAATAGGGATTGCGTATACTTTAAAAAGTAGAAAGAACGTTAAAATCCGTATTTAAGTTTATCCAATATTTTAGTTTTGTTTGGATTCCGGTTATCTGGACTTGTATAGAAGGTAATGCTCTAAAGGGTTTTCTGAGTTATAATTTAATTTGAGATTAATAGGAAAAATAAATACAACTCAGTTGATTATTTTGCAGAAGTTTGATAATAAAGAAGACAAGAATAGGGGTTCTCAGAGAGATTTATCTGGGACATTTGCTGATTTACCTGCTCCAGAATTAGAATGGGAACAGATGCCGTCAGCTCCTGTGCCGCGATTGGATGGTTTTGCAATTCAGATTAAGAATCTTTTATATGTGTTTTCAGGATATGGAACCCTCGACTATGTAAGAAATGTATTATATTTTTCATCAAATGCAAATTGAGTATAGTTAGCCCTGAAATTGAAGTGAATCAATGCTTACTTTGAAAGATAAGCGACTTGGAACTAAACTGGGGACATGTATGGCTGTATTAGGTTCATTCTCATGTTGATGTTTACAACTTCATGGATAACTCGTGGGGAGGGAGATTTGATACGCCAAAAGATATGGCGAATTCTCATTTGGGAATGGCCAGTGATGGGAGATACATATATATAGTGTCTGGGCAGAAGGGTCCCCAATGTAGAGGTCCTATAGCTCATACATTTGTGCTAGATACCCAGACCAAGAAATGGGAGAGCTTGCCTCCATTACCAGCGCCTAGGTATGTGCCCTTTCTCTATAAATAATTTTGAATTTTGTGTTAAAAGTCTCTGAAAGTCTAAGCAACAAGATAATCCACTGAAAATAGCTTCAAGGGTAGGTTACGATCTAGAGTATAGAGAGTCTATCGACTAGACACTACACAAAAAGTCCTTTATGGTATTGAAGGTGGTGTCAATCAATGATCAAGGCTGATATGTACAAAATGAAGTATAGTCATTTGAAGAACAGATGCATGTTGAAAACTAATCAAGACAATTAGCTGAATCCTGTGAAACCATTTCATAGAAGTTCATTGATATCTTCTTTTTTATAAAGCAAATCGACTTCGATTCTTGAATAATCCACCTTTCGACTGCAAATACCTAATCAAGGCTCGTATGTTCAATTCAGTTGTCATCTCAACAGAATATGGGAATTGGTTTTGTCACCATACAATTTAATAGCAGATTTTTATGATTGATCGCGTAAAATAAGTACTCGAGTGATATTATTCGAGACCGATGCATAACAACATAATTTCAGGTATGCTCCTGCAACTCAGCTATGGAGAGGCAGGCTTCATGTAATGGGTGGCAGCAAAGAAAATCGCCATACACCTGGAGTAGAACATTGGAGTCTTGCGGTGAAGAATGGCAAAGCACTAGAGAAGCATTGGCGAAATGAAATACCCATACCACGCGGGGGACCACACAGGTTGGTGATTATTTTGTTCATCTATCTGTGGTCTGCAGGTGTGTAATTTAAGAGATTGGCACATGTAAATAGGTGCCTTTACGGTCTTTTCTTTTCTAACGAAAAATAAGAAAAATTTATTTAAAATTTCTGGCAAGCTTGTAAAGGGAATGATGTCCTTGTATATCTCAGTTTATTGGGGAATTTAGATTTATTTAATGACAGAATGATCTCTGTTCACGTCATCCTATGTGCAGATCAGATTGTTTAGAATTGTAATGTTAGTACAACATAAGCTTTTAATTGATATAATAATCATTTTCTGCCTATTTCACAACTCCTGCGAGGATGCCATGAAGTTCTTTTCTGACTTATCCTATTTTGCTATCTCTATTGAGTGTGAGTTTCTGTTTCAACTATGAATAAGAAATAGATAGCAAGAAGTGTATCATTTCAAGGATTCATTGAAGGAATTTAATAAAAGTATGTTGCGTCTTGTTTTTTGCTTGTTCCCAAGCTAAATATAGTTTTATCTGTAACTGATGATATAAGTTCCATTTTGAGTTTCTCTAATCTTGAAAAGTATTGTTTCAACAGGGCTTGTGTTGTTGTCGATGATAGGCTCTTTGTCATTGGTGGCCAAGAGGGTGACTTTATGGCTAAACCTGAGTCACCTATCTTCAAATGCTCGCGGAGGCATGAGGTACTTGATTTTGAAATATATGATAACTTGTATGATATGTTTGGTACTCATGATTAGATAAAGCACGCGCTTGCAGATGGCTCAATGCTCGTGTCAAATAATGTGTATCAAACATACACTTATTCTCTTGCACTGATTGTTTTTGGGTATACTATTTACAGATTGCTGTATTACCTGTTGTATACGCTATTTAAGGAATTTTTGTACAAGAACAGTTAGATTATTTTGTTTCTATTTTTTCAGGTTGTTTATGGGGATGTTTATATGTTGGATGATGAGATGAAGTGGAAAGTCTTGTCCCCTATGCCCAAACCAAACTCCCACATCGAATCCTCTTGGGTTATTTTAAATAATTCCATTATTATCATGGGAGGAACGACAGAAAAGCACCCAGTGACAAAAAGGATGATCTTAGTTGGAGAGATGTTCCAATTTCATTTGGACTCACTTGTAAGTACCGACATATAATTTACACCGTTAGAAACTAAAGAAAATAAAGCATTATGCTTTGGAGTTATTTAGTTTGTATTCTTGGTTGGTTAACATATGCATTTTTTTTTTCCTATTTGTAAATTGAGGTTTGGCCGTAATACATCATAAAGTCACTAAAATAATTGAAAGTTGAAACTTTGAACATCAAAGTGCATCCATAAGAAAAAGTAGTCCTAGAGAAGAGAACACTTTGTTTCTTGTGTATAAACTTCAAAGTTGTGTTTTACCCTACTTTAAATTGTTGATAAGTGTGTGTGTGTGTGTGTGAGAGAGAGAGAGAGAGAGAGAGAGAGAGAGAGAGAGAGTTCTGGTTCAAGGAGACTGATTTATAATGTCAAGGAGGAAACGAAAAGGACAAGGGCTTTGATATTTGGTAAAGCGGATAATTAATTTTAGGCATAACCAGTTATGGTTAACTGTAAAGCTAAATATAACTTGCGGCTAAAAGCGTATCAAAATAAGTTGGGAAAGTGTTTAAAGTCTAAATTGTTTCCAAGGAGTATACAAGGTGATTTAAACTTTATTGTTCCTTCACAGTGCTCCATTACAGTGTAGCAAGTGCAAGAATGGAACAAGCCAGATCCTAATCCTTTTTCACATTCCAAAACAATGGATACTTAACTTTGAATCTATTTCATTCCTACCTCGGTCTCATTCCACGAATAATCCCTTCATAGTGATATTGTTATATTGTCTGGACATAAACAATAAATACGATTGTTAGCTTACCTTAATACTGGCTATTACTGTAGATTGCACCTTAATCAGCGGTGCAAAGCTTAGGAAAGTGAGCTGTATTTATGGACCTTTTTCTAACCGTTATTGATATATCTTCATGAACTATGATATGCCTGAGGTCCTGGTTTTCTCTTACTTTTACAGAAATGGTCTATTATCGGAAAGCTTCCATATCGAGTGAAAACTACACTGGCTGGTTTCTGGGACGGCTATATTTATTTCACATCCGGACAGCGTGACAGAGGACCTGATAATCCACAGCCGAGGAAAGTCATCGGGGAGATGTGGAGAACCAAGTTAAGCTTGTGATGTTATTTATTTATCTATCTATCTATTTTTTGTCTTTCAAGTTATTTGTAATGTATAAGTTCCCAATTGTCATTTTTTTGGATACTAGGTGAAAAGTTTATTATTTATTCTTTAGGGTACAATAGGATAGTCATCTCCCTCTATAATGTACAATGGAATAGTCAATAGTCATATATAGGTGGTGATTTGATGAATTGTGGCCAATTTTGAAAACATTTGCAAGTTGGCCATTTCTTAGTTAAAATGCTGTAATACCCTTTTTGTAGAAATGGTCAATTTCTTTGTAGGGTTATGATTTCATAATGCTCAAGGTTATTGCAAAAATCTTGAGGATAAAATAATAGCTTCCAAGGGAAGCTTTATAAGTGCTACATGCTTTTGATAAATGGATAATACAATTAGAGAAGAATGGACAAGTTGTAATCAATCATTTAACAAAGAAGGATAATCTATCAAGATAAGGTAATTTGAAAAAATGTCAAAACGACATTTGGACTTCCTTAGTAGAGCAACGGTGTTTATGTTGTTCCAATGAGCAATTGAACATTTACAAAAAAAGGTCACGACTTTCTCTCTCGTTGTCCCTTCGGCGTGAGAATTAGTAATGGGATTTTGAATAGAATGATTTATGAAAATAGTATAATCATCAAACGATTACTGTTCATGTGTTTAGTGTAGCATGTTCATTCAACAGACAATTTTCGCCCACAACTTGAGTACACAGTTTTCATTCACCAAACGGTTAGTAGGATCAATGATAACCGTCAAGCAGTTATCAATCAATTAAAATAGATGATCAGACAATCGAGAGTTGTGATGATCAATTTATCATAGCGAGAGTCATCTAGCACAGCATAAGTCGTCTAGGATAACAAAATTCATGATAGCATAGCGGTAGTTGGTCTTCCATGGTGGCAGTGTGGTGATTGAACTAGCATAAGGATAGTCGATCTACCATAGTAGACTTCAAGATAGTATAGTGGTAATCAGTCTACCATAGTGGCAGTTGAGATAGCATAGCAATAGTCGCTCTACCATAGTGGTAGTCGAACTAATAGTGATAATCTTTCTACCATAACGACAATCAGGGTAGCATAGTGGCAATCACTCTACTGTAGTGGCAATCGAGTGGCAGTCAGACTAGTATAGCGGTGGTCAATCTACCATAGTGGCAATCAAACTAGCATAGTGGTGGACGCTCTACCATAACACCAGTTGGACTGGTATAGCAATAGATGAACTAGCATAGTAATAGATGGGCTAGTATAGCGAAAGTCCCCTAGCATAGCAGAAGTTGCTTTCATTTTGTTGGTCATCGTAATCCACTATTTATGTCACATAGCATCATTGGCCCCTCTACCTCTTGTCGATAGTTATCATTAAGAGGTAGAATATCCATTCATTTTTCTAGGTTTTCCTTCATTTCTTCATTCTATAGTAGTCCTTTCATTTATTTTCATTTTCATTTTCATGATATTTCTTCATTCTTAGCATACTTCCTGTCAAGTTTCATGTGTATGATAGTACCATCATCTTCTTCTAGCTAAGAGTATTCAACATTATCTTCTTGAAAATCAAGTAGGAAGAGAGTAACAGTAACACCGAGAGGATGAGAGTCGACCGACTAGCAAACTAGTCGATCGACCAACGAATATATGATTGATTGACCATTTTTCGCTGGTTTATAGATCGCTTAAGGCTAGCCGATTGACATGTGGATATGCAATCGATCGATCGTTTGAGGATGGTCGGACTATCTGACAAACATATGGTATATAATCGACTACTTGATAACTACATAGCAATCCAATGCGTTAGCTCTATTAGTTGTCTTTGTTGTTCGTTACTCAATTGATTGCATTATTTTAAGTTTGGTTAGCGAATTTTAGCTTTGCATTCTCATTTGGTGATTCTTTAGCTTTAGCCTGCCTAGCTCCTTGGCCAATTTGACGTATTGAGCGTGCGATCTAGTGATTTTGAGCTTCAACTAATTTTTTGATTTCGAATGCTCACCACTAGAATCGTATAGCGAATTTGTGATACAACTAATTTTTTTATTTTTTATTTTTTGTTTAGCATCTATCCCCTTGGACAATATTGATGAGCAGAGCACTTTCTAGTAATTTTGAGTTTTGACCAATTTTATTTTATTTATTTTTAACTCACCACTAAGACTGCAGAGTGATTTTAAGCTATAACCAATTTTTTTGGTTTTCTTGCTCGCTGCCTAGCCCATCGAACGATGCTAATGCTTCAACATATCTAATGAGTTTAAGTCTTAACCAATTTTTTATTTTAAAAGATCACCACTAAAACCGTAGAGCGATTTTGCACTATAATCAGTTTTTTAGCTTTGTTGATCAGTGCTAAACTATAAAACGATTTCGAACTAATCAATTTTTTGATATTGTTGTTCACTACTAGACCATAGAATAATTTCGAATCAACCAATTTAGTGTTGTTGTTCACCGTTTATGCCATCGTGCAGCCTTGAAGTGTAAAGCGTGAGGTTTGGCGATTTTGAGCCTTACCATTTTTGGATTTCAGAGCTCACCGCTTGGCCTCTCGAATAATTTTGACATGTTGAGCTTCTGTCTAGTGATTTTGAGCCTAAATCGATTTTTTGATTTCAAAAGCTTACCACTAAGACTGTAGAACAATTTATAGCTTACAACCTACTTTTGGTTTTGTTGCTTACCGCTTGTCCTTTTGTGCAACCTTGAAGTGTAGAGCGATTTCGAGCTAATCATTTTTTTTTTTGTTTTGCTGCTCACCGTTTATCCTATCGTGCAACCTTGAAGTGTAGAGTGATTTCGGGCTAAGCAATTTTTTGGTCTTATTGCTCACCACTCAAC